AATGACTGTTTGACTTGGATAAGAAGACAATTGACACATGAATCAATCAGCTGACTAGACTTATGGGAAATGGGAAAGATAATTATACATGTTCTTTCATAATAACAATGTAACTAGTCCAGAATATTGGTTTGCAGACTAAAACTAGTCACAATTATTTGGACACTTAGATGTATTTGAATTAAAATGTCTGGTATATCTGATGTATACCTGGAATGGTTATATTTGCGTTATTATTTCTGGTTTGTAAGCCATATGTAAAAACACGAGTAGCTAATGTAATAGTATCATTTGAAATAGAATTTAAATTGAGCAGGAAAAATCGTTAGTTAGAAATAATGAAGACAGACCAGAAAAAGGTGTTTACCTTTTCCGTCGGAAAGCTAGTTATGCAGGCAGGGCTGTCAATTTGTTGTGATTGGAATAGATCAGAATTCAAGTTACGTACATAATTCTTCGGTTTTTGTTCAAGACGTCGGATTAAACTCGTGGCACAGGATTACGGAAGGACATGACGAAAATTATGGGAAAGTTTCAAGGACGGTCCTCATGTGGCTATCATTGGGAAATATTCCATTTTCTGTGCGATATGAAGCTGGATGTGTCTGATGCTCGTTAGTATGCCTATTGGTTCCGTTGTTGTTTGCCTTCTTCTCATTTGAGAACGTGTCATGCTTTACTTGGATTGACCAAAGTTTGCATGGCGGCTGTCCTCGATGAAGCAGAAGACGTCTAAACTTTGTAATTTTTTATGAACCTTTCTTTTGTTCATATTTTGCCCTCGATTTATTTAATTTGAGCTTGGATTATGATTATGTTGACTTGTAAGTATTTCCTGTTTTCTTTCTTTTTTACATACGATAATGTTATTTTTCTATCCATGACATTGAAAAATATCAACAAATTCAAAGAAAAAACATCCTTATTCTTTGGTGTAAACATCATTATTCTTTGGTGTAATCATCCTTATTGCTTGGAATAGACATTCCTTTTCAATGTATATATAGATGTCAGAGAAGACGGAGAAAGACAGGCAAGATCATTCCATTCTGTTTAATGTGAGTAAAATTATTTTACAGTGTAGATAATTGAGGTCTGGTTGCTGGAACATTAAATAGTCTCTTACGTTGAAAATTTTAATCATCTGTGACAGATTTAGGGTTGTAATACACAGTGAATATCAGACAAACATTTATAAAATATCTAAAAAAAAAGAGACAATATCTCGGTGTAAGGCCCCCTGACATGAATATCTTTACATGTACTATTACTATTTTCAAGCAGAATTCAATTACATATGTGAAGAATCATCAATATTGTTTCTATTTTGATTTTGAATGAAAAATCCAAAACGAAAAATTTAACCGTATGTACACGTCTTAAAGTTCAAAGGTTAATGTTCTCTGTTCTTTTATTCCCTTTCATGGCAAAATGCAAAAGACACGCTGATAAAGGTTTAAAAAGTAATGGAAACATGTACCAACAGAAACAAGTTGACCTCTTTGAATAGTAACAGGAATGGAGTTAATCCCGGGTAATTGTACCGACCATTCGGAATATCTCTCTTTCACACGTATGAGATTCCGAAATAAGTCCAAATGAATACCTTGGAGCTTCCCATTGTTTCTGCGCATGGATCCTAAAAATACACAGTGGTATGTCTTTTTTTTATATATCTCAACTCTCTAAAGTAATGTTTGCTGTAGTAACTGACAGTAAAATTATTTTCAGATTCTTACGATACTTTAGTTATAACGTCCATGCATGTCTTCTTTCCAAACCCTTTCCTACTCCTAACGACCTTCCCCAAAGTAAGATTTTTTGTTGTTGTTAGGTCCAATGGCCTCTACAAATCAAAGTCTACGAATAATTGACTAGACGTCGTGCTTTGCATGACATTTCGGACGGGTAAAACTACAAGACTATCACGAGATTGCCTATCCTTAGTTGTATCATATCACTGTTTCCTTGTTATTGTAATTGAAAAAAAAAAAAAAAACGTTTTCGTCAACAATTAATCAAAAATTAGCACGTATCTAAACTGTTTTCTACGAGTATATGAAAACATAAAGATGTATTAACAATTGTGACATCAGTAATTGCTAGCTTGAGGTGAAATGAAATAGTAGTTTCCTTTTATTGTCAGTTATGCGTCATGTTAGCAAAATTCATTAAATGTCCTTTTTACCTCAGCGTATGGTTCACTTTATTTTCTGTATACGCACAAGTAAATCATTAGGGAGTTTCATAGGGTTTTAATTAAGTGCGTCCCCCCTCTTGTTTTTGGCATTTCGAACAGTTTTGATTTTCTTCAGCTGCCTTGTAGGTTTCAAAATTCAGACCCTTATCATTACCGACGTATTTGAGAGGGCAAAGACAGCTGTATGACGCAACTGAAGGGTGTACAAAGGACACAGAAATGAATAACACCTTTTAACAATTTAGTGCCAGATACAGCAGATCCGAACAATGGATTAAACTGCATTATGCAGCTGTTTGTCCGTCTAGGATTCGTCAGTAATGCTTAGGACCTTTATTTTGAAGCCTATGAGGCGAATGAAGAAACTACAAAGTAATCGAAAAAGTCGAAATATAGACGAGGATACACAGCATAATTTAAGAACAGCGCAAATTACATGTACATATTCTGGATCGTGCCACCTTTCGAATGATTTTGAATGCGGAATTATTTGGCATTAAAATAATAAATATTTGTCTGTGCTGCATGTTATGGAAATATTTTTATTGAAAGCTATCATCCGTTCACTATTGTACTTAACTACTGAAATTTATCCCGATATTAATGCCACATGTTAGAAGATAGCATGTGTTACATCGTTGTTCTATGCTAAATTCATACACATTTAGTACTTGCTCAAGAAGTATATATTTTGATAATTTACCCTTATCTCTATTCGGTTCATGGTTTGTCAGCTTTACCATTAGGGCAATCGTTAAGGCAAATGCCTGTTTTCGCCTTTTTATATCAAACCATTCAAAATATTCTAGAGATTGTGAAAATATGGAATATGATGGGAATAGTACTTAAAATCGATTAACATCGAAATTATGTACGTCATCATGAGAATTATGAAGCGTGGTATTAAATTGTCAGATTACATAGCTTTTAACGTTTTGACAGGAATCTTGTTTTTTTTCAAGATGGTCACGTTTTAATTATTCTTAATCTGTCAAGCTAATTCAGCAAGAATTCGTGACCTAGCGGAGAGTAACCTTTCAACCGCGTGGGTTTGAATGGGCGAGTTTCATATAAATGCGTCCTGGATTTGGAAACATCAAATCGGGTCGACACAACCAGAGGTACAGAATATAACCAGCCGCTTTAGAATTCACCAGAGGGTGGTTCGTCAGATAAGGTAAACATTTAGCTTACTTACTTATACATTAACTGTTCTCTCTTACCAAAGAAGGTTTGTGTATGAAGTTTTAATTACATCTAATAGTGGCATTGGTCAGAATATACACCTATACTAGAAGTTCTTTTGAAATTAGGAAATATATGAATTAACACTTCGTTAGATCAGGTTTTTTTTCGATTCGCCTCCTATTTGTCTTAACAAAAATCGTTGATATCATTGACGAAACATAGAATCGGTAATGTATATATAATCGTTTTTAATTATTTAATTCAATTAAAACTGAAAATTCAAATTGAAGTGAAAACTGCATAATCTAAAATGTGTTATGGATATACCATAAACTTGATACAACGTTTTTGCATTTAACTGTCGCCAATTAAATACATTCACATTGGCACACATATAAAATGCGACAACCAGAAACGTTGCATATTTTTTTCCAGTAAATTATTTAATTAATATGATTAAGAACTGTATAGAACTTAGGACCAGAATTTGAAATATAATCCTGTTTATTCTATAGTTTGTTTATTGTTTGTACGAGTGTTTCAGAGGATATTGTGATTAAGTTCCAACTTCATCTTAGGAATGGTTTGAGTCTCGCATTTCATAAGTACACATTTCATCGAAATATCATAGCTTTATTATATAGAATCTATTTTGATTCTTTAAATTAGAATCTGATGCACTTCGCGTTAATCTAAACCTTTCATGTTTTATCGTTCCTTTTTTTAATTTCCTTCATACGATAGTAATATATAATATATGTGATTTAGTTTGGAACTTGTGGATAAATAATAAGTTAGCATTAATCAGCAAGTCATGAATCCATGTGCCATCATTAAAAATAAATCTCCAAAATCGAAAACGTTAGTTTCTGATTTTGTGGAAAGCATCAAACATAACTTTTCAGATTTTTAAGATGTTTTTAGCCGAAACCATCTATCGTCATGATGAGTGGCCAGGTAGCGGCGTACTCGTTATTCACGAAGCGCAGCAAGTTTCCTTGATCGAACAAACATTGGTTTCTTGACAATTTAAACCAGACGTCATGACAGCATAAGATATGATGGTTTAATAAGGTTGAAATGTTTTCTTTTCAAATATGTTATCAGTGATCGACGGTCTCCCGATGTATACGATGTGGGTGCATGTGTTGCTTACGTGTGATTCAGGGAGACTGTAATATGTTTGTGCAAGCCTCTATGCGATAGTCCGGCACTGAAACTGACATACTCTCGCAGTCCTCCTTCAGAACATCTCATTAGGTTATAGCATTGTGACAACGGGTTAATGGATTAAGCTGTAACACTACTGAACATTAAGCAGAGAGAATTACCATACTATCATTTCTTGACAGTGCCAGGTTGAAACTCAAACTAAAAACCAAAAATGAGGTATTGGCAATGGACAAATTAAAATAAATAAAGGAAAGAATTTTTGGTGGGAAAGAGAACATACAGATATCCCAGGTTATGTCGCCTAAGCAATTAGGTACAATTCTTACGCGCTCCCTGCTGAGACATGTATCTTAAAAATGAAATCGAAATCGCTTCTTGTAGAAAGGATTGGTATCTTGACATATTTTTTTATCTCTTTTATCATTGACAGGGGCTTACGATGTCATCCAAGGTCTTAGTGTTGCTGGCGTTTGCATTCCTGAACGTTTATGGGGTTACCGCAAAAGCAACAGTCGTCGAGTTGGAAGAACAACTGGTAGATTTATTACATGAATTCAGAGACGAGGAGAAAAGATCGGACCTGGGAAATGAAGCAGATGCTGACAATACAAATATTCAAAGTGAAAGAATGCTTCCCGGAAGCCCATTAAATCTTCTGACAGCTGGACAGGACACAATTAACAATGTCGTCGATGCGGCCTTTGATTATTCTCGTGAAACCCTTGAACGTGATCACAAACTCAAACAATACTATTTTAAAAGAGGTAAGAGCTTTATTTGCATCGCATGGCAATATGTTTCTTTTACTGTTTTGTGAAAATCATTCACAGGAATATCGATTGCTAGGTTATGTTAAGCCCCACGATATTGCTTAATCTCTACACAAGGGAGGGTGTGTTTCAGATCCATTTTTTTTTCATATGTAGACGTATTGTTATTATTATTTGTCAATAAAAATTCCTTTCGTGGTTTATTTATCATAAAGATGTCAATTTTACAACGTTTCCGAAACAAGCCATCAGCATATATCTATCACGTTTGTCAGCCCGGTCGGCAGGCGACCCCATACCTTTTCTCGACCGTTCGAGAATCAAATCAATAACGGCTGGGTGAGAGAAGGTGCGATAATACAGATTACCTAATTATGGAAATTACAATCGAGTTGTTCAATAACAGCTAATCACCGATTACGAGTCTTGAAATATTTGGAAATATACACTAAAGATAGAATAACTTTATGTAACATATTATAAAAATTACGACGCAGTTTGATTATTCGGCTTAACTGGATCTTATTCTAAATGTTTATGTAAACGTGTTGTGTACTTGGTTGTTGCTGTTTTTTTTTTTTTTTTTTTTGTAAATGAAATTGAATAAATAGATAAATAAAATGAATAAAACCTGACATTTATAGCGAATAATCAAGAGATTCGTGTCTAGATTATCAATGACTAAGGATAGTGGTGCTACCTAAGAATCAAAGGCAGGCAAGGACGCCAATTTTCCTTATCTTATTTGTTAACGTATTTCTGTGGTTCCATCAATTGTTTGCTATATACAATGACATAAGAAAATACTTTTCGAATATCTTTCCATACTAAACTGTAGTGGCATTAAAATCTGTATTTTATTAGAGAGAGAGAGAAAAAAAAGAAATGCTCCAAAACATTAACATGAAGTACAAATAACAGATAGTAAAACAAAATCCAGTAAGGATATTTTATATGTATCATAACATTTTATTTATTCTGTATTACTTAAGTAACTAATAATATCAGTATATGTGAAAAAGTACCTCCCCTTTGTCTGGAAAGCATAGCAACCTTTAAACTAAAGATTTTAATAAAATTAAACACGACGGTTTTAAATCTCTTGAACATAAATCATACCGGATAGACAATATCTATAAAGAGTGTAACAACCAATGCCTCTAATTGTGTACCTGTTTATCCGTTTCGTTAAGCTCCATCGGCACAGGGTTTAATGTAGGATTACAGTAACTGTTAAAACTGATAAATAGATGACATGTTTGCTTTAATTGAATGTACGATAATAGCATCAATACTATTTTTTTTGGTACGTGGATGAAAGAATTTACTGATGTTTCCCATGTTTTTATCTTATTATATGTAATAAAAAATTTAGATGAAACATTTCAGTCATCAAATATCAAATCGTCTATATTTCTTTGCCTTTGATCAACATCTTCACACACCATTAAACAACTGATATCACTTAGTGATCGCATGTTTCTTCTTCACTTGATGGCAATCACTTAGAGAATAAAACAATGTGAAGGACGGGTGCTGAAGATGACTACGACAGAACTACATTAACAAAAATATGAACATTAATCCATGTTAAAAATAACCACTTCCTATTCCTATTCCTGTTTAAGGCATTGATAAAACCCAAAATACAGTTAAAGTAAACTACTATAGTTTTATTTTTGAATTAAAGGGTCAAGTTCAAAATTAATCAAAATTGAATATTCCATCACCATTTGTTATTTATAAAACAGATACCCTTTCAGTATATATTTGTCGTCGTCCGCCTGTCATCTTTTCTTTCAGGAAAATCGCTGCCTGTCATAAACATCTGTGGAGTGTGATCAACATTATAATTTGAAGCTGAAGACAATATTCTATGTAATTGCTTTAATCTGAACATAACATTTGTAATATTTATTGCAGAAGGCAGGTTGCCAGAGATAAGGCTTCATTTGTCCATCGCTATATAGTACCTAATTACACACTTACTGTTCACGCGGAAAGGTGGAAATCAGTGGTCCTTACAGGACGCTAATTAGTTATTTGGATTGTGAATTCACCTGGCAAAAGCAACAAAATGTCCAGCTTTACCTGTATTACATATATCAATATATTCCCGACTTACAGCATTTATATAATTGGCAAACGCTTTTGGTCATGACACAGGAAAGTCAGTCACATTAACATTTCTATGTTCTTGTTTGACTCATCATTTGCGTTTTACAATTTTATGTTTTGCCATTTTAGTTTTACTTTATTTTTCCCTCCGATAGCTATATGTGTAATTGTAGTTTAGTTACACTGAATTGTCTATCGCGATACTCATTGTCATCTATGTATAGGGCGGCAATATGTCTACACTGAATAAAATGTTATTACATTTAAACATACTCATAAAGCAACAATGATATATTTTCATTGTTCATTATAATACAAAATTATATGTTTCTATTGTCGCCTATAATGAATGCTTACATCTTGATCTATTTTCTTATTAAAATCCAATCTGTATTGTTAAGCACTAATATTGTACTGTTTTTAGTTAAACTGGACCGACGCCTGAGGGGCGGGGTCCGTAGCTTTTAAAAATCCTACTCATCCTGTAGGAATAATTGGAGTTTGCCCTAATTTGGTCTGAAATATATTTAGTATAAACGGTGGGTCTCCCCCTGGAGCTAGAGGGGCGGGGCCCAAAAGGGGAAATAGAGCACATTGTTTAAAATCCTCCTTCTGTAGTAAAATGAGTGGATTTTGCGTTTGAAATATCTTTGGATGAAGAGAATCAATTTAGTATAATCGGCGGAACTCCCCTTGGGCCTGGAGAGGCGTGGCCAAATAGGGGAAATAGAGCAAATTGTTTACAATCCTACTCCTGTTGTAAGAATGATTGGAGTTTGCCCAAAACTTTTAGTTGACGGGAAACATATTTTGCATAAATGGTAGATATTGCCCCATTCATTTTTTTTCAAAAGAAACATAAATAATTACTAGTTTTCTCTACTATTCATTTCTGAATATTGTTAATCTTGCAAAAATGTTTGCCTTTTCGCGGAGCAGTGTTTCGTGCCAAACGTAACTAAATAAAACGAGATGTATTCTTACAGGTGGGAACATTGCGTCCTTTGCTACCGCCACTACGAGTTCTGCCGACTATGAGTACACTCTCCTGAGTGAGCACGGATATGTAATGGACAACAGGGATAATATAATACTGGAAGTACGAGCATGCATGGATGCCTTAATCGCCCTAAAAGTAGACACCGATTCAGACGGAGACTTGTACGAAATCCATATTGGTCACAATAAGGGTACCGAGTCATCTATACGTAAAGGAAAAGATACCAACACAAAGGAAAGGAAAAACCATCCCTCCGATGTACTAGACTGCAACAAGTACAATAGATTTATGATAAGCTGGGCAGACCATCATATTCAGGTATTGCATGAGGCTTCCGGCTGGAAAAGTTTGATTGAATGGACTGACGATTCCAGTAGCCAGCTGGATATAACTGAAATAGGGTTTACTACACCAAATGGCGTCGAAGGACACTGGAAAACGGTACTTAGAGGTAAGAAATATTTAATATTTAAACAATACTTTCTTTATCTTAATCATATTAACGAGTATGTTTTTCATTATTATGATCGCTGTAAATAATAATTTTACTTTATTCTAACGTTATTACATTATCAACTTTATCATATTCTTTGTTTTAGGATCATCAACATCTATAACAACAACAGCTAACGAAAGCGACGATAATCATTCCTTTGAACTCCTACAGAATGCCACCTTCAACTATCCTCAAGTGCAAGAACCACATATATTTTTTGAAGTACAAACATGCTCTAATGCACGTCTGGGTTTGAAGGAAGACAGTGAAAAGGATGGAAAACTTTGGGAGATAGCAATTGATGCTGAACGAAATGGAAATACAGAAATTCAAATCCGAAGAAATTTGGGTGGAGGCCGGAAAGCACATGAACGTGTAAGCCTACTTGATTGTCAATCCTTCCAGAGTTTTTTCGTGAGCTGGCGAAATGACTTCCTACAGGTGTTCCATCTGGCCCAGGACGGCAGTTGGACATCAGTCATTGATTGGTTCGACGATAAAGGAAGGGACGTCACACTTGTTGGGGTATATGGTGATGCCACATGGACGTTTTATGATGATTATGAGACAGGTATGCGTATTTGTCTCTACGATATAGTTTAATGTTAACAAGGTGACCAACGTGTTCATGTGTCATATTCCAAATGTAGAACTAACATATACGATAAATATATATATATCTATTTAACACATGACCTCTGGTACACATTATTTCAAATGCAGTGATGTTTATATGTACCCATCATAATTTCACATCGAGAACAAGTCAGACTCTTCTGTATCAGCCGACACCAACATGTTGGATAGCTTTTCACTGAGCTGCGTGATTTTAAATTAACTATTATGAATTATCCATTTCTAAACATTAAAACCCTGCATTCTCAATTTGTGATGGTTACATGTCGCAGTTGATACGATATTCAATGGCCTGTCATTTGCTTTATAGCCATTAAGCTAATGATCATCTATGTCAAGGGGAAGGTATAAAACAATTAAATAAAATAGTTTATAGTAAATTTATTATAAAGTACTTGTATTTTTAATGTCTGGTAAATCTAGTTTTTTAAATTTGAATACCTGGTTTATTTGGATCTTGTATCTTGGATATGTGATATCATTGGTCCTTGTGCTATGCAGAAATAGTATATTTCGTCCTTATGTTATCAGTGTCTGGTAGATGTAGTCGCTGTGCTAGAAAACCTTGTGCATTTAATCATTCGGTAAATGAGTGTTTGATATATTTAGTCATTGTGCTTAAATTGTATTTGAGATTTTTTATCAAAAAATCGTGGTATATGTTTTCTTTGCTGTATGATGTCGATTGTCTTATTTCATATTTAAGGTATAGACATTCCAGCTGGGAACACATCCTCTGAAACCATGTCAGCACTGAATGATATGATTTCAAATCCTACGGAATTGGAGATCGAAGAAAATAGGGCCATTACTGCCTTGTATGCGACCAAGTATCTACTAGAAAAGTAAGACATTGTCAGTTTTCAAGTTATATATTTGGAAGCACGTTTTTCACGGTAAATGTTTGTTAAACTACGTTAACCCGTCAGAAAAGTATGACTGCGATATGGGTGGTTGAAAGAGGTATTTCTCGTTTATTCATCATCATCATGTCAGAAAGATTCAATTTTTTTTTTAAACATGTAAACATGTAGTTTCCATATGATAGGTTGCTTCATGACAACATCAATCCTGAAATATTGATCAAAAGGAAGCCGAATATGAAAAAACTCTAAAACGAAAAACAAAATATTTTGAAACAATTTATATTATGGTTTCAGTTAAGTTTTGTTTATACTATTTAAACAGTATCAACAACTAGCGTAATCTAACGATGGCCTTACAAGGTGTACAATGTGACAGCTATGTTGAGTGAGTGTATTTTTGGGAGATTGCAATACGTCTGTGTACAATCAGAACCACTTGTAACTGAAACGCTTTCAAATTGTTATAAAACAGCTTGACTCTTTGAAAAAGATTTTTTGTTACTTTTCTTCGCAAAGTAATCTCTGCATTCTAAATTTGTCCCTGTCTCTTATCTTTGGAATTTATCAAAAAGAAATGAGATTGAAATTGTGTTTGTTTAAAATGAAGAGTAGAATTAATAGAATATAGGTTGATATTTACAAAACAATTTTGGAACTGTTAGCCAGAAATATGATATGTATAGTTAAGTATTTACAATGAAACGTTTTCATCTATAGCTCAACGTCCTGGAAGAATGCAATGGAATGTAATATATATATATATAATGATTTGTATATTTCAGCACGACCGCAACATCTATTGAACAATTGAAGCTGGTGCCCGGATTGGTGGAAGCTTTCAAAAAACAAATGGAAAATGGTGATCGGAATGCCTGTAAGGAGGAGAAAATTAATTGCAACGAATTTGTATCCTCGCCGTATAGAACCATTGACGGAACGTGCAACAACATTGCACATCCACGATGGGGGTCTACTGGTACATTCCAAGGTCGTTTACTTCCTGCAAGTTATGCAGATAGTATGTATTAAACACGGGCATTTATCATATAAGTAAGATTAAAAAGACTTACATTGCGATATATTTTTCCTAAACGAGGCTGAATTCATCAAGGAACATATCAAAACAATTCATAAAGGCCTTGCAAAGTCCTAAACTTCTATTTCTGATTTATTTATGATGTCCTGTCTTTAAGTAACAAGACAGACATCCACCATGTCCTTCATATATACGCACTAGATTTTGAAGTCAAGGACGCGAACGGCTCTTCACCATCAACCGCTTACGGTGATCTATTCCTACCACAAACCCAACAAGGCTAACATTGTACAAAGCTAAATGGTAAGCGTGATGATATCAATTTCACGTTTGCACATTTTACATTTCTCATGACCAACATCACTGTATTTCAAATGTATGTTGCTTAATATATCGGTACTTGTTCTATATTCCACGGTTTGTTTTTAATAGCAGGATTGAGTTCACAAATTGACAAACGCACAGCACAGGGTGTCGAGAAATGCAGAGGGATAAAATAGAGGGAAAGTTTTTTATTTGCTCTCATTTAGAAATGAGATATTTCTTACTTTAATTGACAAGGATTTATATGGCGGGTGTTGTCGATGATGCAGAAGACGTTTACTCTTCCGGAATACCTAGTCTTATTCTCATTGAACCTTTTAAAGATCGACATGAAAATATTTCTTTGGTTCATATTTTACTTTAGATTCATAGAATGTAACGTTGGATCATGATTCTGTTTACATAATGGCATTTTCTTTACAGTTTTTGCAATATGAAATGATCTGCAAGTGCCAACTTGTTGTTCTGAGACCAAAATTGTTATCGCTATGATCTTGGGATTCCATTTCTTGCTGGTGATTATTAGGTCTTGTCCTTTTCTTCTTTATACAATATGCTGCAGTTCCAATCTTGTATACCAATTCTGTAACGTTCGCTTTGAATACTGTATCCCTATGACGGACAAGGGTATTTCTGAGTTTTGTGAGGTGTGATGTCTGCTTAGTCTTCTGAATAGTTTCTGACATGTCTTTAATGTTAGGAATGACTGCCTCTCCTTTCAGTTCTACTCTATATCTGCAGAAATGCTCAGAAAATGCCGTAAACTCATATCCAGTGTAATATATGATATACCTTAAAGGCACTCTTCTGAATTATGATCTATTGTATTTGCCGCAAATTCCGTTTTTTTCTGCTTTCATTTCTGTATATGTGCATTAGCAATAAATAGTGTTTTGGTCAAAGTATGTGCTGCAATTAGTATTAATAACGTTATTCCGACTCACGGGAGCATTCGTACTGTCATGTTGTAGATGAAATTGCATATTGTGAAAACGACAAAACTGCTCCGACAGGATTTTTTTTTTATTCAATTTACATCTCAGTTAATGCCGTAAAGCAAGAAGAGTTCGGTGTAAACCAAAACTGTAGTTTTCGAAACAATGCTTAAGATGTCGGAATAACTTTCATACTTATCATTTTAATATATCAATTTGCAAAAACCATTTAAATAACTTTATTTTGATTTTCGTAAAAGAAAAAAATATTGAAACAAAGATTTGTATATATTCATATTTTAAACAGACGTCCGGACATCATTTTAAACTATTTTAATTCAACCCCTGTCTGCACTTACAGAGAAGCAGTAAAATTACGAGAGAGTCGTTTTCCCTCGTATCATTGCAAAGACACATATAGTAGTATCTTACAATATCATAGAATATTATTCATCGATCCATGAACATATTCTTATGCAGAAGTAAATACACCGAACGGTAACGGAGTTGGTGGCGAAGAACTCCCTAGTGCAAGAGCCATATCTATCGGTGTGCTTAGGGACGAAAATGACCTTCAGACACCTGATGATCCAGACAGAACCGTTATGTTGACCGTCATGGGCCAGTTTTTTGACCACGATTTCAGCGAGACACCACAGTCAAAAGGTAATTTTTTTCACGTTGAAAACCTTGCATATGTTATGCTTATGACAATATCGAGTCATATGTAGAAATGTTTTGTCACCCGAGTTACGGTTTTAATGGTTTGTAATACAGTTATATATATTCTTAACATTTTAAGGTCACAATCATCAGATGGTAGGCTAATCAAATGCGTCTGCAGTCCGTCGTCAATCCGTCCGTAAATGTTTTTTTTTTTTTTTCTTTGTTACCGCTATTTCTTGCAAAGTACTGGATGAATCTTTCTCAAATTACATATGTAGGTTCCAATTTATCCCTCGTTGTGCCTATGTAGTTTTCGGACTGATCAGAAAAACAAAATGGCCAACAAGCAGCTATCTTGGATTTTTTTCAATGAAGTTTGTTTTCGCTATTTCGTGAAAAGTAATATATGGATATCTCTCAAAATTCATTGATACGTTTCATTTGATCCTGTTTGTGATCTCTAAATATGTAATTTTTGGACTGATAAAACCAAATTGGCCGACAGACGGACATCTTAGATTTTACTTTGAAAGTTCGCTATCGCCATTTCTTGAGAATTACAGTAGAGATCTTTCTCAAATTTCATGTGTATGATTTCCTTGATCCCTAGTTATGTCTGTTTGAGTTTCGTACTGATCAGAAAAAACAGAATGACTTTGCAAGTCTGTCATCGCTATTTTTGAAAACTACTAAAGATAACTTTCTTTATCTTTATGTAAAGGTTCCTGACGGTCCCTAGGTGTACCTGTTTAAGTTTGGGACTGATCAGAAAAAATAATTTGACCGACAGACCGCCATCTTGGATTTTGCTTAGTGAATATTAGTATTGCTCTTTCTTAAGGAGTACTGAATGGCTATCTCTAAAATTTCTTACGTATGTTCCCTTTGGTCCTTTCTTGTGCTCGTTTGATTTTTGGAAATGACCAGAAGAACCAAAATGGCTTCCAGGCGTCCATTAAGAATTTGACAGGTAAAGGAATGTTCAAATGTCTTATCACTAAGAGCGAAAACAAAGAAGAGAAGAGAAAAATAGAGAAAAAATCCAACTTTCAAAGAACATATAAAGATCAAACAAGGTCTGCGCCAGGATCCCTCTGGGACCTCTTGTAGGGTTATCTTACTCGTTATTGTCTGAAATGACATATAAAACAAAATATTTTTTTCACAAAGTTGTGCCTTAAACCTGAATGTAGTGATGGCTCTGAAGGTTGCAATTGATCAATGAAGAAAATTATTGGTATAAGCCTTGCATTTGAATGGTCATTCAAATCCGTTGGAAATACAATCGACCTTGTGTAGATGATTAATTACATTTGTATGTAATATGTTTATACCATTCGCAGGCATTGATGAGTCAACGATAGGGTGTTGCACGATCACGGACGAACTTCTTCGCGAGGAAAGGTATAGCTTTTGACGGGTTTGTGTAACACTGTCATTATATTATACTAATATGAACACCATCTAAACGATCAAATGATCTCGCTTATGGTCATAATTAGTGTTGTCTAGATATAAATCAGAAAATATGTTGTTATCTGTTAAAAGTAAACCCTGGAACCATATTTATAATGCGTATATATTTATTGACTTCATTTATATTTGTTCAAATTAGAACGCACCCGACATGCTACAGATTAATCGCTGGGCCTATAATATCTAAGTCGTTTTGTAACATTTCTGGTTTATCAAACATATTGTTTAACTCTTTGATCAGGATGCAGTGTAATACTATTGATATTGACCCAACTACGGACCCAGACTTCAAGGAAGATACGTGTATGGCATTTAGGAGATCATTACCGAGAAGAGGAGAGCACCTATGTGAGCCAGGTGGGTTCAGCAGTCACCTTGTCTCTAAGTTTGGGATTTGGGGTCGATTTCCGGATCAATCATACGTGTGAACAATTTGAGAGACTTTCACTCGTCTTTTCTTTCCAGGAAACATTGCAATATAAACAAAAATAATTCGATTTACAATTGTAAGCTATTGTTTGGGAAAAGTCAGTGTGGATAAATGGAATAACAAAATCCGAAACTTTGAAACGCATAATAAGATTAATGCAAATTTGATATTTTGTTCATCAAATGTCCTCCTTGAGAAATAACACAGCTAGTCTCTTAGATGTTAGCCAGTGGGGCCTGTTGCTTGAATGTGGCATGTTGCTTGAATGTGGCATGCTGCTTGAATGTGGCCTGCTGCTTGAATGTGTCCTGTTGCTTGAATGTGGCATGCTGTTTGAATGTGACATCAAATCAACATCTTTTTGTGTATTGTCGTAATATTTGTTGTTTTACTCAAATATCAATTTATTTTAATTGTTCAAAATACCTGAATTAATTTAACGGTGCGTTTATAATATAAAGGGAATCTAGACAATTAAAATATAATATGACATCTTCTGTAGTGCGTAGACATGAGATAGCAGCAAGGCTCACCATGTTGAGAAATCTTGTGATTTTCTCTATCGAATAGGGATACAATATAATTTCATGACTGGTTGAGATACGTGAGCAGACGGTATGGTAGTGAAGCATGAAGCCAGTGTAGACTGTTAAGAGGTAATATAGGCAATGATGTCTCTTTTATTCAAGTGTTGTAGTTCACTTTTACATAGTTAATTGCACGTGGTAGTAATATTATCGACAGTAGATAATTTAACAAATTATGTTAGTGATCGGTAATCAGGACCTTATATTTCTAGCCATGTGTCCAATCTATAAATCCTTAAAAGTAGCAAAAAGTACGGACTATGAACGAGAATCTGCAGGTTACCTGGTCTATCGACAATAAAAATCATAAAGTTTATGATAATAACGATAATAAATCTGGGAGCTATTTATTGTCATTTACAGGCATCCGGGAACAGGTTAACGATATAACTTCCTATATTGACGGTTCCATGGTGTATGGGTCGACGGAGGCAGTGGCAAACAGTCTTCGCACATTTCAAAATGGTGAGTGTGCAAGAATTATATATACTTTCCGTGTATTGATAATGCACATATGTATACTAGATGTATTCTTTTTCCTTCTAATCTTAAAGGCAGTGGATATTAAGGTATCTCGTACTAATCGGCGAGGTGTGAAGGTAGTGTGGTCTTTGAATCATTTCATGTAATATTAAAATTGGGTTTGATACTGCTAAATATCCTATTTATATTCATTTTAGGACGTCCTTCGTATGGATGCAATTAACTTATCTAATTATATGACGGGTTTTACGTCCACTAATTAAGCCTTTCAAAAAGTTCGATCATATGTATGCGAGGTAAGAGCATTTTTATTTAAGCTTTCTTCCGATTATGCGGCTATTGTATTGACGTATATTGCCGATGACCTCCAGCAGAACTCGTCATTATACAATTATTGGCTCTTGTTTAGGTTGATACAAGGATTTATCAAGACTCTGAACAATTGTACTTGTAACAGCTGTTTTATTCATAACAATAACAATAACTTATTCACAAATAAGAAAGTGCAGTCTACTTGAAATTAAATTTAATTGTTACTCTACTGCAGTTGTAAAAATTAGGCATTGGAGGAAAAGCACTACGTGTAAAATTCTCTAAAATATCGTCTATCTGCTGGACCGTCTTCGCACACAAAAATAGATAATATCGGTATGGATTCATGCCCGTTTTGACCAATCAGCTGCAAGAAAAACACCAGTCATATAATAAATGATTATACTGACCCATGGGTGTACATATCAACAATTACAAGTGTTTTGCTGAATAACAATAACAAAAAAAAACTCATCATGTCGCATTCTGTTTTAACAACACCAAACTTCTTAGGTGGAACTAGGACTCTTAAATCATTCCTAATATAACTGGAATACTTTAATATATGATCAACAATGACAAATTATAAAAACAATTGTTCTGAACAAAGTTATAACGTATCCCACATAATCTGCTTTGAACTAAAAAGTTGTTTTCCTTTTTCCCTAATCCTTCTATATATCACTTGCCGATTGGATTTTGCTGGATAGTTTTCTATGTGCACGCTTTTTTACATAAAATATTATAAAAGTTATTAAAGGAGAAAAGGAATTGTTCAGGTAGGTGTTGATGCAGGATCAATAGTTAACACTCAGTCATGCTCAATTCTACTTCAGGTACACTGCTTGTGGCGACCGGGGATCTGCTTCCTCGAAATAACGATTCGACATGCGTTCTGGACGACGTTAACTCAAGTCATTGCTTTTTAGCAGGTTGGGTTTTTTGTGCAGATATGGTCTTTATATGTTTGTAAATGTATATGAGATAATTGAACAGAGGACACTTTTTCAGCACAAATTAATATACAAGTTCAGACCTGTAATGAATGTCCTGTTTTTTAATAAGAACGGGCAAAACATTTAAAATCATATATTCGTTGGAGTAAAATGAATTATATAAAGAATTTCAAAAAGACAAAAAATGACGGAAATATCTGTTGAAAATTATTAGCTCTACCAGAAAAAAATTCCGTCATTTTTACAACGTGTGGTACTAAGCAGCGATTGATTTGATGCTTCAGGTGACATCAGAGTGAATGAAAACCCTAATCTGAGTGTTATGCATACAGCATTTGTTCGTTACCATAATCTACTTTGTGAGAAGCTTTCCCAAGGGGGAGTCACTGGTGATCAAAAAATATACAACATTGCAAGGAAAATTGTTGGGGCAATATTACAGAACATCCTTTACGGACACTGGCTACCAAACGTTATCGGTCAGGAATTGATGGACAAATATGGACTTACAGTTGGTACACCGTTTGTTTATGATGCGACAGTTGACGCAGGTATCGTCAACGGTTTTGCTGCTGCAGCATTCAGGTATTCATGTGTACATCATTTTCAAATTTTGAAAGTGCTTGAAATTTCACACTCGCTCGCACGTGAACACATATTCTATGTATTCCTATGTGAAGGATGGCTTATTTCGTTTTCTTTGTCTTTCTTATGTTTCCTTCTTGTAAATATATGTGCCTCCATTTTTTGGATGTTGCTAGAAAGAATATACAAAACTACATCATAGCAAAACATAAAGTGCATAGTAAATTGTTAAATAATGATAATTCTATTGTCTAGTTCAAGCTTTAATTTCTTGAATGAAATGCCATCAAGTATTCTTCCATTTTTTAAACATACCGCTTCGATTGTATTTTTTCTTCATTGATTCTATTTTACAGATATGGTCACACACTGGTCCGGGACACTATTGATGAAATTGATGAAAGTTTCGAGTATAAATATTCAACAGATCTGAAAGACACCTTTTTCAACCCAGCTACTGTTTACTCGAGTTTGCAGAGAATCGCCCGCACGTTCTCCCTTTACAATTGTAAGGGCGTGGACCCGTAAGTTTTATTTATGTTATTTTATATCTATGTATTGTGTTGATATATCGTAATAAGGATGCAGAACACGGTTGGTCAGAATTTTATATTTATGTTTATATGACAATATAATATATATATATCAATTATCCCTTTCCTCAAACTCATTACTAGCCTACGATTTAAGACTTCCGGTAATTCGTAATATGAATATCATATCTTGCGATCGATTCTTGACCTGTTAGTTGACTTCCTATTTATATTTGCCAATTGTAATAACCAGATATACAGACATAAATCAGCAGAATACAAAAATTTAAAGCAAAGGAAAATAAATATTTAAAGTAGTATTAAAACAGAAATGTACCCTTTGGATTGTTTTAATTGTGAATAGCTTTTATTGCCTTCTCGATATCAATAGTGGAGTGTCTAATGATCGGCGATTGTACTTGGCTTGGCATAGGAACCGTAAACACAAAGATGCGACTCGATAACCAAACTAAAACCACAACATCTTAAATATGTTTACAGTGATGATAATTGAGTCAAGGCTCAAAGATCATCTTTTTCATATCATTTTATTATTAAACTGAAATGAAGCTTTTTACGAATTTAATATGTTTCGTAATATAAATACGATTTTTTGCTTATAATAAAAATACTAACCAGGCTGGTTACAACATCAGTAGTTGCTGCTTAATATTATGGATTTGAAGTGTAACCTATATTGTATTATGCCCTGCTTTACTTTCAAGGCATTTTGTACCGGCTTTGAAAAATAGTCTGTTTGGAACGCTGGATCTAAGCGCCTTGAATATAAATAGAGTACGAGATCATGGATTGCCTAGTTATACTGCCTACCGCAAATGGGCTGGTCTGTCAGTCCCAACTGACTTCAGTGACCTGACCGACCACACACCAGTATTAAGACAAAAGCTAAAGAACATGTTTCAGTAAGTATCCATAGTGTGTTTTACTTATGTAAACTAGTCATTGCATATTTTGATACCATGAACACTTTTAACAAAGGATGTGCATATTTAATCCAAACGAAATTGAAAGAAAAAATACTCGAACCTTTTCTGGCTTCTCTGGTTTGGTATCTATTGAACATCACCATTAAGGCACAAACTAAAAAATAAAATGTATTTTCTCAATGTGGAGTAAGGCAACGCAACGCCAACATGCAGTATCGCTTATTTGCATGTCCATAATATAAATAAGTTATGAACGGAAAAAAGAGTCTTGAAAACATACAATGTCCCTACCATGCAACTTAACCGTATCGTGGCTTTCGTTGAAAGATTGTTGTAACGATATTCATCCTCGCTTTGATGATGTTAAACCCTTTCCATGTTTTAGGAATGTGAACGACATTGGGCTTTTTACTGGTGGCATTTCGGAGACTTCCATGGAGGGCGCGCACATCGGACCTTTGTTTGGTGAAATATTAGCGTTCCAATTTCAGCTTCTCAAGCTTGGAGACCGATACTTCTATGAAAGATCATTGCCAGAAGGTTTTAGCCAAGGTAATATGCGAAACCTAAAAATATACTTAATTTTAATCTTGGGATGTTAAATGTGAAGTTATGATTTAAAGACATCGAGCAAACATTGAAAAATTAGTAAGTATAAATGGGTCTTTCGGCTTAAAATTATATATCAAATATCTTCTGTCTTATATACTTAATGGAACGAGTGAAATTGTAAGATTATGTAATTGATGGCTCTACGTGACCCTAAATGGGAAATCAATACATTTTGATTTCCTGTTTATCTTATTGTGTAAGCAGATCAGATTGTGACCAATTTCGGAATAAATTATGAATTACTTAAAGAAGATAATTAATTATGTTAAGAACGGAGACAACCAATAAAACATAATAATTCGTGAATACGAGCCATTCGGCTGTTTTGTCTGTTATCTCTAATAATTGTTGTGGAATTTAGGATCGTGGTTATTGTCCGCAGTTCAGCAACTTCGCCCGTTATAAGCCTTTTGGTAGGTTACGGCTAGTGCCTGTTCCATCTAGTGCAAAACATATCTTTATTACGTAGGTTCCTATAGAGATGATATGAAATGAAATCGAGACCAAATTCTATGTATTATGTAAATCAATTTGTTTTATCATTTATGAAAACAGGCTGATATATAATATATTATTGATATTAGCATTAACAATGTGTTATATCCATACCAAAACGACAACATCACCACTTACGCTCATACGTGGTCTATAGGTAAAATGATACTAGGATACTCAATTTCGTAGTCACAACATGACTTCATACCCTATATCAAATCTCCTTAAATTAAGGTAAACACTCATAACTGCTTCAACTTGCTTTTCCCAAAGGGATGTTCTGTTGCTGGATATTCTTTCTCCTTGAAACCTTTATTCGAAACCTGTTTTATGTACCTTTGATGGAATGGAGAGATGATAATTCTTATGTTGCGAAGATTGTAAGGTCTTGCCAATCTAAAGCGTCCACATTTAATACACATCTTCAGTAATCAAATCATATTATGAATCGGAAGTTAAATCACTGGAGTTAAATCAGATAGACTCTTACATAAGTTATATTATACTATAATCTTATTTATCCATCTTCAAATTTACAGCTCAACTGGAAAGCATCAAGCAGGTTGGATTGAGCAATATCTTCTGTGAGGTGTTCGAATTGAACTTAATCCAAGAAAATGTTTTCATTTTGCCAAGGTAAGTATTCCTACATATCAATGATAATAATATTGCTCGTAAGAGATGATAAAATGCACGTTAATAGAAAATAATAATTATTTGAAAACGCTTGCGAGTGCGAAAAATCTGGAAAAAAACTACAATAATACTTTTTCATATATTATAAATAATGTTTTTTCTATCTAGAATCACCTATATTTTGGACAATAAAAATGTGGTTTTTGTTATGTTTTATTGACATATTTTCTTATCAGTACTGTCATGACTAATGTTATGATTTAATTGCTGTCTTACAGTGTGAAAGACCTTGAGCTGTGCGAAACATTTCCGGGGATTGACATCAGCCCATTCCTGTAATTAGAAATTCTATATCATTTGATATCTAATGGAAAATGACAAAACCATCTATAAAGTAGAAAACGTAAGCTAACCTCAGTTGTCAATTGAATACTTCATAACCATAGATATTTGGACGCATTATTGTAATAAATTTGAATATAACTCATTTTAAAAAGTTATGAAAAAAAAGACAGAAAGAAAAGATAACATCATTTACAAAATATGATGACCTTTTCGTTTTTAGCAAAGACTAAATCAGTTATGACAGCTATACATGTTGATAGTTTATGGTAGTTAAACCTTTTAAACGGTTAGGATTCTAAAAAATAAGACTAGTTTTGCCATTTTCAGAATCGTGTATTTTACAAATGTAGTTGTCATACTGATTCATTTTGCTTTAAAAATGTAGAAAAAAAAATGACCGACTTCTACACAAATTTCGGGCTGCGCGGGTTTAATATATGATTTTTCTCGAGTTTTTGTTAACAGAGACAATCTATTGTACGGATATGTTTAGAATGCTGCTATCCTTGTGACTACTTTTGATCATTTCACTGTCATGACAGAGCACATTTATATAACTGAGGCGCATAACAGGAAAATGTTGTGCCTAAATTAAATTGAAACCAAAACCACCTTACGAATGTCTACGTTACTAACATCTATACTAATAGTATATAAATTAAAACATGTATTTTTACAATTAACCACGTATAAAAATAACCTGTCAAGTTATGGAAACTCTTATTAATTCAACACCAACGACATGAAATTATCAAGATACTGTAAGATTTGTACATTTTGTAGATATCAGTAGCCTTATATACAGAACGTGTTTAAATTTATTGGGAATTTTAAAGGGACATATCCATCAGAATAAGTAATATAAGTGCCAGGATAAAATGAAGAGTTTACATTAGCATTATGTTAATTGCGAATACAGCTTAAAAGGACATAATAATGACACGTTGGATACATATTTTATGATTCTGTATATCTTAGTTACCTAGAAATAAAACAGTTGCATGCATTGAATGGTGTTACGTGTTGTGTGTTACCTAATTTCAAGTGGTCACGAATATATTTTTAAAGAACTAAAGTTAATTGCAGTATTGTTTGATAAGCGGTAGGAAAATATCAACATTTGAACATAACCTTATTCCGAAATTCAGTTTCAATGAAACTAGGACAACACATGAACAAAAAAATGGGAGTGGGGATGGGGGTTCCACGGAGACTCCTGAAGCAGCAGAAAAACAACACCAATTGTTTCGGAAGAGTAAGCGTCTTCTCCTTCATCGGCGACACCTGTCGTGTAAAATAGCAGGGGGAAGGTAGACAGATGGTGAGTTTGTTGATTGACTGATGAAAGAGCAATGTCAGAGCTTTTCAGTTGTGTACATCAGAGTTCACATTAAGGTGTAATGTGTGTTTTTTGTTGTAGTGTTATTAGAATGATTAGGAAAGTCATGTTACTAGATTCTATTGAAGTTGACAGTTTATCTTAATCAAATTAAAGAAAGTGATTATTCACATTTCATACTACACTTCGCCCAGTGAACGAAAAATGGTGTGTGATCGTGGAAGTGAGCCATGTTCAGGGAGAGGTGTTATATGGATACCAGAGAATCAATATGTGATTTCGGGTTAGGAACTGCATGTTTTGTGCATATGGATATATGCGATGTAACTGACTTTGTAGATTTTGAATTGTAAATAACTGTAAACAGAAGAATGATATTATGGTTTTATTCTACAATAGTTATCAAGTGACTAAAATAAGTAGCAATTGTTATTTGGTTCTGATGAATCCCATTTTTTGCATGTTAAAGTTAAATTAATTGTTTTACTTCACTGTATGAAGCTTTGCATTGACTTGTATCAATAGGTGCTACTTAATAATGTGTCTTTTGTACAATCTTCCTTTTGACTTTGTCTCAAAGTGGTTTGGAACCCAGAGTAAAGGACACGATGGAAATGCTTTTTTTATATTTAGTTTTAACATATAATTGAACTGCATTTTTCAGTACAAATTGATTGAGTTGCATCACAGAACTCATAAAACGCAGAGTCGCTCGGGGTCTACCATGTCGAAATCTATAAGAGGGGTTAGTAAAATTTCAAACTCGACCACAGTCTAGTTGGAATTCTGCGTTATCCATACTTATTAGCAAATTTCGTAAATTTGAATAGTGGATAGTTTAGTGTCGGGAGAGTATGCCCCTAGTAAAGTAACGCTTGATTTTTCACTAAATATTTACAGTAGAGACATACCTGTGCATAGTGTTGTTTTTATTGCAAAGAAGGAACATCACTTGAATGACGAAACGCTAGAATATATAAGATAGAAATCAAATGTGCTATGCAATAAATGTTTTTCTTTGTCCGTTACTTCGTTAAACTACAGAACGTTTTCCGTCAAATTACCAAACGGCTCTTATCAAAAGTTTGGTCGAGTCAGACACCCCTACCCCTCCACCTGCGGAATGTGTCATGACGCATTGATCGGTTGTGAAAACTATGGACAGGGTGTAATCTTTTCAGTATGGTCTCGTTCAAGCTTTCGTGGATTTTGTGGTTGTGCGTTGTGTATATTTTTTCTCATTACTTTTTGCCCAATGTAAAAGGGATTTTTTAACCAATAAAGATCCATATTTTCATGTAGGCAAGAATCATATTTTTGTTGAAACATACAGGTTAAAAACAGGTGGTTTGGTCTCCACATTTTTTATCGAATCAGTTTATTATTTGTAGACAAAGCTTTGCTGTCTTGTTCATCAACTTTTACCTGGTGTTTCATGTTTCTTTACTAGCATTTCCGATAAAATCATAATTTCAACAAGAAATCGTTTCGTTTTATCGGTATTGACCAATTTCAACTGGTAGTATCTGTGGGCTCTCCAAAATCTCTTTTTAATCAACATATCTTTATTAGATTCAATTACTGATAGTTATCTAACAAGGTATTCCATGTATAAAATCCCATGTATAAAATGTATCCTGAAAAGAGAAGAAAACGTAAGCTCACATTAAAAAAAATACTTATGACATATTTTCATTTTTCATTTCATCTTTTTATTGACACGCTGGAATAGTCAATTAGATCGAATAACAGGCAAAACTGATATAGATTTTCTCCATCAAATGGTCTAAGTCAGATAAACAATTAGAGATCAATAAAAGAAATGTTCTGTAAGACATATTTTCAGACAATTTTGTTATGAAAATATAACAAATAATACCAAGATAGATTAAACAAGGCTAAGGGGAAGTAACTCATTATAAAAACATCTGATACACATTTACACACATATACCAGTACATGTACACAAATCCAAGCTTGTACCTACATCATCATAGACAGCTACTTGCAGACTTCGACCAAAAGTCCATGTGTTTATACCGCACAGGTCATTGCTATCAGCAATTCTTGAAATACTTACTATAATGTATTCATTTGATATATACACTACTGAAGCAATTAAGAATACAAAGAATTACCAAGATAATAACATGTAAAAGTAAGCAGCCATGTTCAATAAGAATTTCTTATGTAATCTAGAATTAGATTGATTTTTAATTTGATTAATACATCATGTTTTTTAAAGATAATCACGTACAAGTTTGAACATTTGATTTTTCCTATAAAACAATGCACATACTCAAGAATTTATTCTTGTTGAGCTCATCGCAATCAAACTGATAGAAGCAATATGTTCATAGCAATGTGAGTATGATTGCCAAGAGCAGGACACAATGTAGTTATTTAGTCATTCCGAAAAGTCATGTTTTGCATAGCAGATACAAACTGGATTATTGATAAGACGCTTATGATGTAACTCATACTTAATATTAATATAGAAATGTTAATGTTGACCTATACTAATATATGTTAACTTCTGATTTGAAAATTAAAGACGATTCACAATAAAAAAAAATAGCATTGTTCAAGTTATTGTTTAAAGTTTCGGGAGAGGGAATACCAAAATACTGAGAAAAAGTCTATGGGATTTATTCCATACTATAGCTTTAGGAAACATTTACTACATTATAAAAAGAACATCTGAGTAAATATTCTGCTTATTTGTGATTTTTTTATATTTTCTTTGTGTTATAAACATTGAATATCAGGTAAATATATAGCCCCTTTCATATACAAATAAAAACACTTGCATGCGTATTACAAGCCTAGTATTCCTCGCCTATCAGTACTTCATGAAATTTCATAAATTTGATTTTTAAAAGAAAACATACAGGTGGAGGCATTTTCCTCGTTAAAACGATTGCTCTTAGATTCATGTGCATTTGGGTCTAGACTATGACTTGGACATTGGATGGGCGCTTCTCTGAATATTTCTGATAACCATTTCCCCAACCCCCCTCAAACATCCGTTTTTGCAATGTGTGTAACTGCCAACCATAGTTACATTCAGTCTTGACCATGTCGAGGATATTTTACATAATTTTTTTTACATTTCAACGTGATGAAACAATTCATGCGAAGGCATTTGGTTCCCATTGTTACCTTAGACTGGAATAAGTGAGTCACGATATTTGTTATGAAATGATTTATATGCTGCTGTAAAACTGTTTTGCATATAGTATTACTTTGTCGTACAAGCAATGTTTTGTGCTCGTCAGGGGTTCGATGTCACACCAACAGTCTCCTCATCTCTAAGTGTTTTCTTTTGTTTACAGATAGATAACTTCAAGTAAAAATACACCAGTATATTTTGTATAAAAGGCGACCAAACCATATGATATTTCATGTAAAATGACACTTATGTTAAACAAACTTACATTGCACCGTTTTATCAGCACACACATTAAATGGTTATTTGTAAGCATTAGAAAGCAGGATCACTAAATCAATAGAAGCCACATAAGTAGAATGTTTGTATTTTTACATATTCTGTTAAAGAACTACCAGAAGAATATGCCAAAAGCATATTAAATGAAATAACGTTGTCTCAATACTCCTAATATCACTTAATCAAGTTTCCATAAACGATCTTCTG